TCACACTGATTGAATCTTTGCGCAGCATAAAACGTACTATCATGCGGTACAATGGTCTGAAAATCAAGACTATTACTTATTGGCTCTACTGGCTCCTTAGTCGATTTGGCAACTAATAGTCGTTATTTTCCCACTTTAAGTCATTTTGAAGCCATCCTTTTTTAAGGGGAGATCTAAATTAGTATTATCTTTCAAATGCCAATGAAATTTAACCTTTTCATTTGTTTGGCCTGCAAATGGGACATAGTACCTTTAAACAGTAGTGTATTAAATGGATGTCACGAACAATACGGGTCGACGCTTCCCCTTTGTTCCTAGACCCCCCCCCCCTTTCCCTCTCTCCTCTCTATCAAACTCGCCTTTCATGTTATGGCTACGTTGCGTTAACTCTCTTCCGATATTCCTGGTGATGATTGGTCATGATTGGTCATCCTCTCTTCAATCTAGAGGCCAAACTGATACCATCTTTCTCGACTTCCAAAAAGCGTTTGATCGCGTACCACATCCACACCTTAGATCCAAACTACATTACTACGGAATCAGGGGAGACTCTCTCCGCTGGACTATGTCACTCCTAGCGAATAGACATCAAGCTGTCGTCGTCAATGGTGCTCGCTCAGCATGGATGCCTGTTACTTCAGGAGTACCGCAGGGTTCTGTCATTGGCCCCGTACTTTTCCTCCTGTACATCAATGACATCAAACTCAACATCAAGTCCACAATGCGTCTATTTGCAGATGACAGTGTCATCTATCGGCGTATCGACTCTCCCTCTGACACTCATATACTGCAAGAAGATCTCCATGTTCTTGCAGACTGGTCCACTAAATGGCTGATGGGATTCAACATCAAGAAGTGTGCTACATTGTCAATCACAAACAAGAAGCACCCCGTCACAGTGGACTACACCCTACTAAATGAGTCAATTCCTCGAGTAAAACAATACAAGTATCTTGGTGTCACGATTACCCATGACCTTAAATGGAACACTCAATGTAAACTCGCCACCCAGAAAGGCAATAGAACCCTTGGCCTCCTACGCAGAACTCTATCACCGTGCACCAAGAACATCAAATCCAAAGCCTACACAATGCTTGTTCGTCCTCAACCTGAGTATGGCAGTGAAGCTTGGAACCCTCGGACTCTGACATCAATACAAAGTCTTGAGAAAGTACAGCGAGCTGCCGCCCGTTTTGTATACCAAGACTACCGGAGAATAACATCAGTCACAGCACTTGTCAACAAACTGGGATGGGATACCCTTCACAACCGCAGGCTTCTTGCACAGTCCACTTTGTTTTACAAGATGCACCATCACCAACTCAACATGCCTTTTCCCACTCACATTATCCCAGCTACATATCTGGGCAGAAATGATCACCCTCTGAAGTATGCAGTACCCCCAGCTTCCATTGATAGCTTTAAGTACTCCTTCTATCCTCGCACCATCTGGACGTGGAACCACCTATCAGCTGCTGCAGTAACATCTCCAACAGTGACCATCTTCCAGGAGGCTGCTCTACCTATCATCAGAGCGTTGCCTCCTCCTGTTGGGTCCAAGCTACTGTAGACTCCACGTCTCGGTTTTTACTTGCACGTCCACCGTTTTATTGTAAATAATAGACATCATTCACTGTTTTGAATTACTTCATGCACTGTCTCTATGCCAGCACGTTGCACGGACATCCCAGTTTAGCTGTATGATAGCTGCCATCGGGATTATCTCTACAAGTAACAAGTATGCGCCATTATGTTAGTGATTGTGATAGATTTGAACGAAAGAATGGTAATTAGATAAGAAAAAAGTATTAATCAGGAAACAAGACCCACAAAATCATATTGCTAGTTACGGTTGACATAAAAGCAAGCGAAGGAAGATGGATATCATATTTAGAGTTCAGAGTTCATGCAACGCTTCGAAATGTAAAAGAAGAATAAGAAAATTAAAGTTGAGATTCGACCTTTATGTCTAGACGTTGCTTAATGCATTTCGTATTGGTATTATCTTCCATCTGAGAGTGATTATAGACGTTATTTATATGGATAATAAAGATAAAGCTGTCCGGGTCTTTGATTATAATGCTTCAAAACAAATCGAACAAGCTGTTTATTTCTTTATTCATGGTCTGTTTCTACTGTTTATCTATTTTCCTTGCCAACCCTCGAAAACGAATTTATTATGCATTCACAGAGGAAAGTTAATGATGAAACATTTGGGCGCAGGCCAAGATTTATACCCACTCAAGTGTGAATTTGGCACATCTTCCCTAAACTTCTTCAACCAGGAAATGGACTTCATTGTAGCCTTAGGACAGGATGGTGACATGAATTGATAAAAGAACATCATGATCAGATTATCCGACCCCGGAAACCCCATGAATTTATCAACTTTTATCATACGGGTCTTTCCTTTTGGAACTACGCTTGACCTTTAAATCGGATGGCGATCCTTTTTTATTTGGCCAATATGGCCAGCATAACAGCCCCAAGGAGACCTGTAATTGATACAAGCACATCATAATCAGATTTTCCGACCCCGAAAACCCCCTTACTTTATACACTTTTTATCATACTAGCCCTTTTCCTTTGGAACTTCACGTGACCTTTTACTCAAAGGTGGCAGCCATTTTGGATTTGACCAATATGACCAGTATGACCCGAGGATATCTCAAATCGATGAAAGAACATCATACTCAGATTCTCTGATTTCGAAAACCCCATAAATATATAAACTTTAATCATACTATCCCATTTCCTTTCGTAACTACACTTGACCTGTAACTATCAGATGGCAGCCATTTTGGATTTGACCAATATGACCATTATGGCAGCCACAAGGAGACCTCAAATCAATGAAAGAACATCATAATCAGATTCTCTAACCCCCCCCCCCCCCCCCAAAAAAAAAAAAAAAAAAAAAAAACACAACCCATAAATATATAAACTATCATCATACAAGCGCTATTCCTTTTGGAACTACGCTTGACCTTTAACTCAGATGGCGACCATTTTGGATTTGCCCAATATGGCATACCCAGAGGGCGCCCTTCTTGGCGTCCGGCAGAAATCATAAAAGTATGGTATAATCTACCTCTGGGCCAAATTTGGTGCTTTTAGAAGAATCTGCACCAAACAATACCTATTTAGCCCTAACAGCCCCTACTATAATGGCATTGCAAGTGCATTACCTCCGTAGAAATTTCACCGAAAAGCGAAACCACGTATTGTATCGAGGACGGTCTGTGTGCGACGGCCGTAAACATGAGTGCTCTGTGTCCGCGAAGGTCTGTCGGTTGCTGAGCGAAAACTCGCTAATAGGATTCTAGAGCGTAATAGTTTAGTATTCCAAAAGAATGCGATAGCCTATTGGACCATCAGAAACCATTAGAGCTATTGGTGTCTATTGGTTTCAATAGGGAAAGTAAAATATTGGACCATAGAAACCAATAGAAAATATTTATTGGACCAACACAAACCCACAGAAAAAAATGCTGATGGACCAACAGAAAGCTTCTATTGGACCAACATCCACCCACGTCTTTTATGGGTTTCTGTTGGTCCATTAGATATGTTTTTCTTTATGGGTTTCTTTTGGTCCATTAGATTCTTTCTATGGGTTCCTGTTGGTCCATTAAAGATCTTTCTATGGGTTTCTAATGGCCCCATATTCTTAATTCCCTAGTGGTTCAATAGTCCATTGGCTTCTACTGATAAATCAAAAATGATAAATCAAAAGTCGATTTTAGCAACTGTCCACCACAAAAGGTGAATTCAAGTCTCAATTGCATTAACTCCATCACAAAGCTCACTTGAAGTGATTTTAAGAATATCCTTTACTTAACTAAAGGCTTGTACAATTCTATATAATAAATATACATGTTGTTTCTTGGTTAGTAATCATTATAATTAATATATCTATTGCTAGAACGGGAATGTAATTGTAACATGGTCAGACAAATAATCTATTGGTCATTACTTGCCGAAAGAAAATAATAATCACAAAATTGATGTGCATTGTCATAAGTAATCATGCATATGCATGAGATAGATTTAGCTGTTGGTTTCTATTGGACATATTGGTTTCTACACTGTTGGTCATAATGCTTTAATAATTATATTTTACCCCAATTTATTGTATGGTTTTGACAATGATTTATTCCTAATAGATCTAGATAATGGTATAAATTCTCAGATTTTATTGAATGACAATTAGGGAGTGTTTGTTTTGCGTGACTGCCAAAGCATGTGTGTGCTACTATGCTCTTAAACTAGGGGACCTACGTCCTTAAGTCGTATCTGACAGTAATGGGGATTAATGCCATATAAAAGGGCACTAATATAGCACATCGACACGGTTTTGATTCTGGGGGCTCACAATAACGAGGCCATTGCTTAGCCAATGAATCATGACTTTACGCAGCGGGCACTAGGGTACGTCGACGCCCCCACCAAAAAAAAAGAAAGAAAAAAAAGAAAATGCAATAAATTTGCAATAATTCATTGCATTTTACCCGGTCCCCAACAGGAAAAATTCCTCTGTAGGGCCATGCATTATGGTTCAAGGCATGCCCACATAGAAGATTTGTTTGCTGGGGCTTGAAAAAGACGTCATCGTCTTTCAGACACATACAGTGCGGCTTTTCGTGGGCAAATCCCGCATCCGGGATTACCGCAATGCAGCTTTCCTGCATGCGTTCTTAATATTAAAAAGCCGCGGTTTCTCGTGCATGAGAATTAATCCAAGGCGCCTAAGTGACGAATTAAAGTCTAGTTCTGTTTTTTTTTAATCTGACTCTCTCGACCCATGTTGGGTAGGAAGTGGGTGTCTGGTTATTGAATGCACCGAATACTATGTTTTCCGGAGCTAAAGCGGAGGTAATAATATTGAAATTCCCTTGGAAGTGACACAAACACGCTATGTGCCGACATACATTTCTAATTAATAGTATCATTAATATAAATTTTCAAATCCTTTCTGTTTTATCTTGTTTTCACATAAGTCTATCGAAGAGTGCATTCTAGACGGACATTACGAGTGTAACAGAGCGGGCATGTATACGAACATTTTCTGCGGTTTTAACCCAAAATGCGGGTGAGTACATATTTATCTGTATTCTGAGTTATTATTTTCGCCATGATAGTTAAAGTTGACTGGTGACTTTTTTCAAACAAACATTAAATGCAACATGGACAGCAATGTCATGTTGTCGCCCAATTCCCTCAGGCGTGTGGAGAAAGTATAAATGCGGTCCTTGAATTTTTTGTGTTTATTTGTTTCTAAAAAGAATAGAATAATTTTTTTTTAAGGTCCGAAAAATGCAAAATTTCTCTATAATTATGACAATAACTGTTTTCCCCATAAAAAAAACGTAGTTTAGATAATCTAGCCCCCATTCCGACTCATTCGGCCAAGGAAGGGGAAGGGAAGAATACCAGTAGTAGGGGTGGAGAGAGTGGTAGAGAAACAGGTAACGGAGGAGCGATTTTCATTCATTAACAGAAGAGAAAAATGAAAATGAAAAACAAATTATGCTCTTTTCGTGCATGTTTCAGGAACTGTATGTAGATTTGAATACACCCCCTCCCCATTTCTCCTTTTCGCTCTCTCTCTCTCTCTCTAACTCTCCTCTGTCTTTCTTTTTTAATAACAGGAAAGACGCTACATGGGCTTTGGAGCAGGCCAAGTCAAACATTGATAAATACTACACTTTCATCGGTATCACCGAAGAGTATGAAGCGTCTCTGAGAGTCTTAGAACATCTCATGCCAGATATGTACAACGGATTGACAGAGTTCTATCTTTCTCGAATCAACAAAAGTAAGCCAAAATTGTGTTACCTTTCTTTTTTCTTTCGTATACTGTATTATGAAATTAAAAAACTAGTCCGACTGTACATGAGTCTCCAATAATTGGATTTGCATAATCTATTTATTTAATCTGAATTATTTTATTTCCACCGTCTTTGATACACAATGAGCCATTTCGTAAATACTATCTGCGCATGGGCAGATAGAGGTCATTTCTGATAAAATTGTAAAACCCACCGAGATGAAAAGGTGCTCATGTTATGTAATCATTATTCATGTGTTGCACCTGCGGTACATTCTATGATCAGGGGCGTAAATCCTTACCGAGGAGTGGGGGGATGATCGGCGATAGCCATCACATACTAGCACGAGCACACGCCCACACTAATTTACGCAAGCGCGCGCGGATCGCGCACGCACAAACACACAACACACACAACACACACAACACACACAACACACACACACCCAAACGCACACACACACACACACACACACGCACACACTCAAACGAACAAACAACAAACAATATTAGATAAAGAAGACGATTCGTTGTACCGTTCTCGAGAATAATCCTCGTCTGAATTCAGTTCCCCCCCCCCCCCCTCCCGCGCGGAGCGCTTAAGCTTTTACGTTTCATCAAATCATTAGAGAAAGAAGACGATTCGTTGTTCCGTTCTCGACTCTTAATCCTCGTCTGAATTCAGTTCCCCCCCCCCCCCCTCCCCTCCCGCTCGAAGCGCGGAAGCTTTTACGTTTCATTAAATCATTAGGGAAAGAAGACGATTCGTTATACCGTTCTCGACCTTAAATCCTCATCTGAATTCAGTTTTTCCCTTTCCCCCTCCTGCGCGAAGCGCGGAAGCTTTTACGTTTCATAAAATCATTGGAGACAGAAGACGATTCGTTGTATCGTCCTCGACTCTTAATCCTCGTCTGAAATTAGTCCCCCCCCCCCCCCTTTCGAAGCGCGGAAGCTTTTACGTTTCATTAAATCATTAGAGAAAGAAGACGATTCGTTGTTCTGTTCTCGACTCTTAATCCTCGTCTGAATTCAGTTCCCCCCTCCCCTCCTGCGCGAAGCGCGGAAGCTTTTACGTTTCATTAAATCATTAAAGAAAGAAGACAATTCGTTGTTCTGTTCTCGACTCTTAATTCTCGTCTGAATTCAGTTCCCCCCCCCCCCCCCTCCCCTCCCGCGCGAAGCGCGGAAGCTTTTACGTTCCATTCAGTGGCGTAGACAGGTTCGTACACCTGGGGGGGATGACTCAGGGGCGGATCTAGCTTTTTGTTAAGGGGGGGTTGGCCAAAATAATGACGATGCTGAGCATCGTCCACGAGCCGCGAAGCGCCGAGCCGATTTTTTGGGGGGTGTTTATTTGAACCCCGTAAGTGATGTTTTCCTGGCATCTATTAACACAATGGAGACCATAAAAAGCAGTGCATGATAACGTCTTTTTAAATCAAGTAACAGTTAAATACAGTTATATCTAGAGTTATCATGTGTTTGGTTAAGTTACCAGATGAGTTGAATATCTTCTCACAATATTTGCACTTGAAAGGGTTTCTCTCCAGCGTGCGTTCTTTTTTCTTTCTTTTTTTTCCCCTTTTTTTGTTTTGTTTGTTTTTTGGGCCGCCCAAGGGGGGGGGGGGGTTTAAACCCCCTAACCCCCCCCCCCCCCCGTAGATCCGCGCCAGTTTAATCTTGTGGTTATCTTGTGGTTTCCAAACCACAAGATAACCACAAAATACTTGTAAGATTTTCTTTTTTTTTACCGTCTGAATTGGCTTTCACCGTGTGAATGCGGCTAATAACAATAAACACAATAATGATGGGGATTATTGTTATCATCATCATAATTATTATTATTATTAATATTATAATTGTTATCATTATTATTATTACTATAATTATCATCATTATGACTTATTAAGTAAGCAAATATTATTCCCCAAAACCTGGGGGGGGGGGAGATGGTTGTACATGCCATATCGAATATGCATCCCCCTCATCCCCCCCCCCCCCCGTTGTCTACGCCCCTGGTTTCATTAAATTATTAGAGAAAGAAGACGATTCTTTTTACCGTTCTCGACTTTTAATCCTCGTCTGAATTCAGTTTTTCCCTTTCCCCCCTCCCGCGCGAAGCGCGGAAGCTTTTACGTTTCATTAAATCATTAGAGAAAGAAGACGATTCGTTGTACCGTTCTCGACTTTTAATCCTCATCTGAATTCAGTTTTTTCCTCCCCCCCTTCCCTCCCGCGCGAAGCGCGAAAGCTTTGACGTTTCATTAATTCATTAGAGAAAGAAGACGATTCGTTGTACCGTTCTCGACTTTTAATCCTCATCTGAATGCATTTTTTCCTCCCCCCGCGCTTTTACGTTTCATTAAATCATTAGAGAAAGAAGACGATTCGTTGTACCGTTCTCGACTTTTAATCCTCGTCTGAATTCAGTTTTTCCCTTTCCCCCCTCCCGCTCGAAGCGCGGAAGCTTTTACGTTTCATTAAATCATTAGAGAAAGAAGACGATTCGTTGTACCGTTCTCGACTTTTAATCCTCATCTGAATTCAGTTTTTTCCTCCCCCCCCCCTTCCCTCCCGCGCGAAGCGCGAAAGCTTTGACGTTTCATTAATTCATTAGAGAAAGAAGACGATTCGTTGTACCGTTCTCGACTTTTAATCCTCATCTGAATGCATTTTTTCCTCCCCCCCGCGCTTTTACGTTTCATTAAATCATTAGAGAAAGAAGACGATTCGTTGTACCGTTCTCGACTTTTAATCCTCATCTGAATTCATTTTTTCCTCCCCCCCCCCCCCCGCGCTATTACGTTTCATTAAATCATTAGAGAAAGAAGACGATTCGTTGTACCGTTCTCGACTTTTAATCCTCATCTGAATTCAGTTTTATCCTTCCCCCTCCCCCCCTCCCTCCCGCGCAAAGCGCGGAAGCTTTTACGTTTCATTAAATCATTAGAGAAAGAAGACGATTCGTTGTACCATTCTCGACTCTTAATTTCTTTAAAAAGAGGGTGGTTTTTTTTCTCTCTCTCTTTGGACTCCTGAGAAATGTAAAAAGGAGGTTATAAAATATCTTGAATATCATAGAAAAATTGATCAAATCCCGGGATCAAATTCTTGAAATTCCTGCTAGCTTTGAAAGCTCATTCAGGATTATTTCATTTTGAAAAGTAAAAGCATTGCCCCCCAGTCGATCGACTAAAACTCATCTGAAATCGGGGGGGGGGGTGTGGTACATTTAGCAGTGTTCCGGATTTTTTTTTTTTTTTTTTTTTTTTTTTTTTTTTTTTGGGGGGGGGGGGGGGGGGTCTCCAAGGTAGGAAAAGCCAGCGAAAAGCCGGCGAAAGGGGGATTCAGAAATGTTGGCAGTCCTGAGATAGGGTGGGGTGCTTTCAAAGGGAGGGAACGAGCATACGCGTACCCTAAATAACACTAAGTGGGGGGAGCCGGGCATCTACTGTACGTGATTGCACTTTTTAAGCGCTCGCGCGCTGGCGCACTTTACGTCTGGGCTATAATAATACCTTGCAAAATAACGAAAAATTATTCTGAAGTTTATGAAGTGCTTGTTCGCGCACGTCGCGCAACTACTCTTAATGATCGTGACATACTGTATACGTGTAGGCTATACAGTTATACATACATAAAAAAATAACTAATTTTGCATGCATTATGCTAAAATTGAAACAATCACATTTTTTGTCTTCTTCTTCCTTTTTTTTCTCTCTTTTTTTTGGTGGTAATATCAGGGGGATGATTGTACAGGCCATCCCCCCCTACTTCAAGCCAGGGGGGATGCAGCCCCTCCATCCCCCGGGATTTACGCCCCTGTCTATGATACAACAGGGTAAACAAAATGGGAATTCTCCGTGATTAAAAGATCTGTGGATACTTTGGGTCATTTTACCCATGTGCTAACTACGAAATGGTCTAATGAGTTTTGCGGTCCACTATAGGGGACACATGGAAGGACCATGATCGATAATGAAAACTATGGAAAGGGAACAAAAATAAACAGTATATTCTATAGTGAGCATACTCATTGTTAAATTTTATTGCATGCCTTCACCTTTACATTAGTAAATTCTCAAATTAGACTGTTTAATGTTAAATTCTAAAGCATGCTCTTACCATTTCATATGTAAATTCTCAGTTAAGACTACTCAATGTGAAATTGTCTTGCATGCTTTTACCATTTCCTTTTTCTTTTTTTTTGATTCTCAATTAAGCAGAACGTACTCATTGTTGAATTGTCTTTCATGCTTTCACCCTTTAAACAAAATTCTCAATCAAGCTTTACGTACTCGATATTGAATTGTCTTGCATGCTTTTACCCTTTCCTTTTTCTTTTTTTGGATTCTCAATTAAGCAGAACATACTCGTTGTTGAATTGTTTTGCATACTTTCACCCTTTCTTTGTTGATTCTCAATAAAGCTTACGTACTCGATGTTGAATTGTCTTGCATGCATTCACCCTTTCATTTTCATTTTTGACCCTTGTGTGGACACACTTGGTATATGTTAAAAAAACCAGTGCCACCTACTGTACTTTTTCTTTCTCTCTGTGTGACAAGTCCTTCTTGCAACCCATTCTCTGTTGTACGGTGTCAGTGTTCTGTTCTCTGTATTCAAGTGTTTTTGTATCTGTACTTGTCCACATGTAAAACTGTTGTTACTGCGTCTACATGCAGGACGCTTCTATCGCCAAACTGCTTGCTTATTGCTACAAACCCAAAACCGAAAATAAATATCATATCGAGATGTTGACTGTACTTTAAAGGCCATGCAGCTGATATGCCATTCTATTCCTTAAATGTGATGACCTTTTTATTCATTTGACCCTTCATCAACAATCTCGCAAATGATTATTCTTCAACTGATGTAGCGTATAACCATTTTGTAGCAAATAATATAAACTCATCAACAGAAATTTTAAACTCTTTCCCACCAAATTCAAAGCCCTTCATCTGAATATGTAACCTAGCCCCAATTTAAAAACCTTGTTAAGCAATTTGCTATAGACACATTTTCAAATGATTTCCTAGTGTACCTTACAGATTTACTAAAGAATCCACTTTTTGTAAACAAAGACATTTTCATAATGGGAGATTTTAATATTGATTTTTTAAAGCATAATAACAACAATATATCCAATGAATATCTTGAAATATTTTTGACTGCCTCGTTCTTGCCTTTGATATCGAAACCCACCCGTGTGGCAAACCATTCCGCCACCCTTATTATTAATGTTTTTTGCAATGTTCTTCCTACCCCAGACTCTTCTGTAATTCTATCAGATATAACGGATCATTTTCCTATTATGTCACATTTTACCCTTAAACACTCATTAAATAATCTTCATCAAGACGCAGACCTAACCATGAAAACATTGCCATTCCTGGCGCATCTTTACACTCTGCTGACTGGTCGTATGTTTACGATAATAATGACGTAAATTTATCTTTTAATAATTTATTTAACATATTTCATAATCAATTAGATATTCACATTCCTAAAGTTAAAGACAAAGGAACTACCTACAAAAAAGTCACCAAGACTTCCATAGATTTCTAAGTCACTTTTACGTTCAATTAACAGAAAAAATAACTTATACCAAAAATCTAAGATGAAAGGCACTGAACAAGCAAAGGCTAGATACACCAGTTATACAAATATTTTAACTAAAACAGTACAATTAGCAAAGAAAAGTTTTACGAACCAGTTAAGAACGATATTCAAAACACATGGAAGATTTTAAAACGAGCAATGAACTTTTCCAATAACAAATCAGATATAGCTGAAATGTAGGTATAATGATGATGTTGTCGAAGATCCTGTAAATAAAGCCAATACTTTCAACAACTTGTTTTCCTCTTTAGGGACAAACTTGGCTGAAGGTATTCCTCCTTCAGCCAAACATTTCTCTGATAGCCTAGGCACACCCAACCCCAATACTATTTTTCTCACTCCTATACCGTGTGAGTCAAAAAAAAAAATTACACCTAGAAAATTGCTAATTATTCTAAAAATCATCTATGAATAGTAAATTATTATACATCTTATGAAAGAGTGTTTTGTCCCTAATCATTTGGTATTATTTTGTGTGGTATGTGTTTACGCTTGGATGAACATGAGGCATTGTTTGCGAGAGTGCAAAAATCGACTTGCGCCAAAGTGATGCCTACAGCGTGTATTATGTTGGGATTAGCGGAGTGAGAGAATGAATTGAATGTATCAAATGAAATGCATTGCATATGCTTTTTTCAGAAGCAAAGTCACACACACACACACACACACACATGCGCACGCATGTTCGTTGATATTCGATATTTGATATGTGTTTCATGATTTATTTTATTAGGTATGTTTTTTTAACTGTAAAGACCGAATTAATACCCAAATCCCAATTTTTTTATTCAAACATCACACAAGCAACTTTGGCGCAAATCGCTTTTTGCACTCTCGCAAACAATGCTTCCTGTTCATCCAAGCGTGATCACATACCACACAAAAATGATACCAAATGATTTGGGATAAAACTCTTTTTCATAAGATGTACAATCATTTTTAACTGTTCATAAATGATTTTTTTTTTAAATTAACAATTTTCTAGGTGTAAACTTTTTTTGACTCACACTGTAGTTAAAGAAGATATCATTGATATTGTATCTAATTTGAATAACAAAAAGAGTCCCGGCTATGATGATATTAATAATGTTATTCTAAAAGGTGTAATATCTGTTTCAATTCAATTCAGTACTCATTCAATTCCATAGTAAAAACAGTAACATTAACATACAGTAAATATAAAAGAAATACTACTCATTCATAATTATTATCAAAATAGTACAATATTGACAGTAAAAAAATAGGAATTCGGTTGCTGTATAAAAACCCTAGTGGGTTTGTCTGGACAGCCACCATAACCATCTCCAATTGTTGATCCTTTAATTAGTACACATTCTTAACTATCGTTACTTAATGGACAAGTCCCAGATAACATGAAAATCACAAAAGTAGGTGATAAGTTGAATGTCATTAATTATCGACCAATTTATTTATTATCCTCCTTGTCGAAAATTCTAGAAAAAGTTGTTTATCGTAGAACTGTTAACTTTTTAAAAACTCATAATATTTTTTCCAACTTTCTGTTTGGATTTAGAGAAAAACATAATACAGAACATGCCTTAATGAATTTTATTGACAAAGTAGCGCATGCTTTAGACAAATGTTCTCACCTGGTTGGTATCTTCCTGGACTTTTCCAAGCCCTTCGACACCATCAATTATGACATCTTATTATTCATACTTTCTCATTATTGGATGCTTGGGAAGGCATTGGAGTGGTTCAGGAGCTACTTATCCAATAGACGACAATACGTATTCTTGAATGATCATACTTCCAATATGCAAAACGTAAATTGTGGAGTACCGCAGGGAAGTTTGTTGGGCCCTTTATTGTTTATTATTTATATAAATGACTTTTGTAAATCATCCGATGTCCTTTCATTTATACTTTTTGCAGACGTTTCTATTTTTTTCTATTTTACTCCCATAGAAATCCAATTACTTCAGTCAATGTCAATTCTGAACTTGAAAAAGTCACCCAATGGATAAGAGCTAATAAACTATCCCTTAACCTCCAAAAAACCAAAATATGTTATTTAGTAATCCAATAGCCCACTGCTCATGAATATCATTTTTGACGATACCCCCTTGGAAGTTGTTTAATTCATTACATTTCTAGGAATAACTGTTGATAACAAACTTTCGTGGAAATACCATTTAAATAATTTCACGGAATATTGGCATAATAAATAAAATACAATTTCATTTTCCAAACATCATCCCTACTCATGCTTTATTTATCTATAATTTTACCATATCTGAATCATGGGATACTTGCTTGGGGCAATACGAAGCAAACTCTACTAAATAGACTGTTATTATTACAAAGAAGTCTGCGTATTACTCACAATTCTGCTATACTCTCACACACAGACCCCTTATTTGTTAATAGCAGACTATTACAAACACATGACCTGTATCTATTTCACTTAGGACAATTATGTTTAAGAATAGTAGAAAGACCCTTCCACATATATTTGATGCCATGTTCCCCCTGAATCGGTTATTTCATGATTACCCAACTAGACGGTCAAACGAGTTTCACCTACCACTCTTTAGAACGTTCTTAGCGAAGAAGTCTTGATGTATGATGGTCCTAGATTTTGAAATTTTTTAAGTGAAGGTAATAAAAATAGTCCATCCCGAAATTCTTTCAAGAAAAAAACTAAAAATATTTTTGCTCAAATCTTAAAGTAATATAAAAGAATAATCTGATAACAGTTGGTAATCATCTTCATTTTTTATTTAGGTCTATCATCTGCCGATTAATTGAATATTTATTTGGTCTTATGATCTTACCTTCCCAGAATCACCAATATAACTACCTCTTTTTCCGTCATGATTTGTCCTGCTTCTTCCTTTTTCTCCCTTTTATTTCTTCTTATCTGTTTTACTTTTCCTAGTCGTTTCGGGGTTGTTTGTTGTTTTGTAATATTGTCTTGTGTTTTTCAAGTCTTCGTAGGCAAAATTTTGAAACAATTATATATTTTTCTGGAGGATCCACAAACTACAAGCACTGCTTTTTAATGGATCCCCCATTTCCTCAGTTAAGAATTTCTTGTAATAATTTTATTATGTGCAAAGTGTATTTGTACAGTCACCAGAAAAATGAATTATGTATGAAAACAATTTAATACCTTTGTTTTTCTTTCTGTTGGAAATGAAATAAATATGAATTAAATTGAATTGAATCGAATCAAAATGACTTAACTTAAGGTCTAACCAGCGGATTTTCAAGCCGAATATATAAATATAGGCCTATTTAAATGCTGTCGTGTAGGCCTTATATCGAGAAGTTAGTGCATGGAACAAAGAAAATGATGAAAAATAAATAATTATAGTGACGATGAGTAACGAATGTGAGTAAAATCACAGCTAAATTCCCTCTTTCTTTTTTGTTGGTACTACTCTTTTCCCTTCCTCACAGCAAACAGCCTAACAACGCTCTCCAAGACTGCCAACAAGAAGCCCCTGTCTCAAGAACTGAAAAACACTGCTACAGAGCGGTATGCTGTTGACTATGAGTTATACAATTTCATCTATGACCGACATCGAAAACTCAAAGCCAGATTCGGAATAGATTAAGGCCGGGCCTGATTTACGTCATCTCTCAAAAGGCCACACCTAAAAACACCGTCACTCAAAAGGACACGCCTAACAACACCGTCTCTCAAAAGGACACGCCTAAAAACACCGTCTCTCAAAAGGACACGCCTAAAAACACCGTCTCTCAAAAGGACACGCCTAACAACACCGTCTCTCAAAAGGACACGCCTAACAACACCGTCTCTCAAAGGGCCACGCCTAAAAACAACGTCTCTCAAAAGGACACGCCTAAAAACAACGTCTCTCAAAAGGACACGCCTAACAACACCGTCTCTCAAAAGGCCACGCCTAAAAACACCGTCTCTCAAAAGGACACGCCTAATAACACCGTCTCTCAAAAGGCCATGCCTAACAACAACGTAATTGAAATTTATCAGTAAACTGTCTTTTATACCTTTTAACTTGAAGGTAATACAAAGTTTTGGGAAATTTTGAAACTGGGTGGATAGTGATTCTTTACAATTTTGATATATTTGGATGCCCCTGTGGATGTATCATAAGCGCTAGCAAATTTAGCCCCTAAAACAATTCTGTTTCGAGAAAAATTGAATATAACAATTTACCGGTGCTCCCGGTAGATTTTGATAAATTTTCAAATAGCGCCTACGGCCGTATAATGGTAACTGCGAACAAGAAAATCTTAGACTATGTGGTTGTGATATATAATTTCAAAACGGTAATAGGTTGATTTTAGTCAAGAAACGTTGTTTTATAGCTTAATTAATATATTGACCTTGAGAGGTAGCTATACAACATAAAGAGTTAATTATTTATAATTCCATAACTTTAGACTCGATTTCAACCGCAACCACGATCACTGAATATTGTAGGTTCGCTTATGCTTCCAACATGTTCATTTGAACCAAATTCATAACCCCATACCAAAACTTTGTATTACCTTTAAATATCCAAACATCTGACCATGCATATTACGCCAAACGTCCTCCGCTCTATACTTTTCGATTTTTTGTTTTAATCAACTCATGATCTATTCTTTTAACTGTCAACTGTCTTACTGAAATGACACCCCCTGCCAGTCAATTATCTGTATAATACAAAAGCTGTGAATCTAAATTTCATATACTGTCTATGTTGTACATTTGTTTCTGCAAGTACTTACATATATTCCCAAGTGATTGAATCGCTCTTTTAATACGTGCATATTGACTATACCACCTTCCATCCTTAAATAATATGTTTGCACCTAACTGATTAACTGGTAGAAAATCTTTACCATCCATTAAATCCCAAACAAACAAAATGTCAGAATTTATCCAATTCCTATAAAAAAAAAGAAAAAAAGAAGCATTTTCCGTTTAAACATTACATTTGTATTCAGCCTTATCATTTCTCTACGATCTATCAAAAGTACCTGATTGAGCCTTTCTTGAGTAGTAGTAGCTTTTAAACAAGAAAAAGGTCGTAATTAAATTATATTAGAAATGAATATAGTAGAAACTTGTACACTTATTGTACATGACAGTATGTTTTAGTATGTTTTTTGTTGTGTTCTTTTGATCTTGTTTCTTTTTTTTTTCCTGTATGTGTGTGTGTGTTTTAGGGGTAGGCTTTCATGTAAAAAAATCCCTCCGGCTTTGTGCCTATCACAAATGCTCTCATAAACTGCCATTGTTATTTCTATTTGTATTTGTATTTATTAACATTTATTTCCTTCTCAACAATACAATATGAAACACAATTTATATATAATTATATAACAATTATTTCAACATAGAGTATACAGTAAATAGTTCAGATACGGAAGGATGCGAAAACCCGGAAAGCATAGGTTGAGTTGGGAACGCCCATAATAAATTAACACAGTTACCGATCGAGAGAACATTGTAGATATTATTATGAAAATTACATTTTATATAACAGAAAATTGATAGGAAAGAACGAATATAATAAATGGAACAGAGAGAAGAAGACAAAATTAAGTATAGGAAGGCATGTTCACTTATGAAGAGAAAGTTACCTCAATTGGGCTGTGCATGTGTCTGTGATTACATCATAGAAATAACGAAGTACTACAATTTAAAAATAGACAGCGGGTACATATCATTAAAAACAAGCAAAATCATCAAACAGACAACAGCTTTATCCGACAGCATTGTCCTGGGAATATACATATGGTACTAGCAACAGCTGAGGCATGTACGTAAGTGATCAAAATACAAACATGTCATTGAATTCCACAAGATCGTTTCACACATAAATACAAGACAGGGTATCAATATCGAGCAATTAAATGCTTTTTTGCCTTACGGGAAAAAGTCTGCAAGGAGAGCGATTTTTGTAGAATAGGTGGTAATTAGGTGTTCAAAATTTTTGGCCCAGAGTATCGAATGTCAAATTGAAATCTTCGGGTTCTATGTTTAAGGAGATGAATGTTGGCAGCGCTTCTCGTATTATACGTATGGGTTTCCGAGTTGCATTGAAAATTGATAAAATCACTATATTGTGATGGGAAGATGTTATTCATGCTTTTATACATGAAAATACCCTGTTGGTGCAAGTTGATATCACTGAATCTCAAGAAAATAATTTTTTTAAAGATGGGACCACTATGGGAACGATAGTGCATTCCGGATATTATACGAATAATCTTCTTCTGCAATAGTGTAAGCTTTTGTATTTTGTACTTGCAGGAATTCGCCCAAACAAGATTACAGTAAGAAAAATATGGAAGTATAAGAGCACAATATAACATACGTAGAATGTGATTGGGCAAGAGATGTTTGAGTCTAAATATAATACCAATGTTTTTGGACACCTTACTTTCAACTTCGTGAATATGGTATTTCCAAGACAAGGAACTATCTAAATAAACGCCAAGAAATTTGACTTTATCTACCCTTGGCAATATGACATTATCAAGAACAATATTTAAATCATTTAAATCTGCATTCTTTCCATTATGAAAAATCATATAATTACATTTCTTTACATTTACAGACAATTTATTAGATTTGAACCATTCACATATATATGCAAGACCTGCATTTACTGTATCCATAAGAGACTTCAAGTCTGAATCTCTGTGAAATGTGTTTGTGTCGTCTGCATACAGTATAAAAGACAATTCATTTGCAGATTTATAAATATCATTCACATATAATATAAATAACAATGGCCCAAGCAGGCTACCCTGTGGAATCCCGCATCTTATTGTCCTAAACTCCGAAATAGAAGATTGATATTTGGTACATTGTAATCGATTGTTAAAGATGAAGTTGAGTTCTGGTTATGCGATTGCATTGTGAAAGAAACGGTGTGGAATCGACCAGAAAAGGTTGATCATCTAGCATATAAGAATTCGTGTGTATTGCAAGGTTCTGGAATCATCAAAATGATAAGAATTTGGCCCAGTCTTCGTAAAGTTACCAGCACTGTACACAGAAAGATGTATATGGGACTACACGAACACGTGGCGTAAAAATCCTACCCCCGAGTTTTACGATTTTACATGACATATTTAGAATATGAAGGCATTTGAAGAGCCATGCTTTTCAGGGAACATGTCTCATCTGATGTTCTTCCACACTTGCATAATAAGAATGTTAACGATCGCAAATTATTTTTCACCTCTTCTCAGAACTCAACCTTCTCTTTAAGATAGCAGGTGAACCATTTCAGAGCTACACCACGTATTCCATAACAATATAGTTTAGAGAGTAAAATATTGTAATTAATTGTGTCAAATGCCTTACACAGATCTATAAAAACTCCAATTGCAAATTCATTTGCCTCAAAGGCGTCTATGACTTTACTAGAAAGACTGGTAAGAGCCATACATATTGAATAATCCCTACTGAAACCATATTGATGTTTATTGAGAATAGAATGTTTGTCAAGAAATTCAATAGTTCTTTTATAAACAATGCGCTCGAATAATTTAGAGAAGACTGACAGTACAGAAATGGGCCTATAGTTTGTAAATTCACGCTTGTCACCAGATTTAAACACTGGTGTTATCAGGTGGGCTGTATCTATACAGACCACCTTATAATTTTGTTAAAATTGCCTTTATTATTATTTATTTATTTTATTTCTAACCACTTTTTTGTTAACAAGATAACTTGAAAATGGCTAAATCAAATACTTGAAATTTGGCACACATATGTATAGGCATATGGAGAAAACACGGTAAGGTTTAAACCTTGACCTTGACTGATGACGTCATCTAGGCGCCATTTTGTGAAATTTTCTGAAAATTTACTCATGATCATATTTTCATAACGGTAAATCATTTCTCATTCATATTATCATGATCAAGGTCAATATCAGTCCGGTCAATTTCATGTCAAAAAACGCGCGCGTGCGCGTACGTCCGCGCGTTAGTGCGCGCGCAAAATTTTATAATGCTGAGAATCGTTTCAAATTTATTTTGCATACGTTTAAGGCCATTTTAAGCATTTTATAAAAAATCGCGCAAAAATCGCGCACACGTGCGTGCGCGCGCGTTTTCGCGCGTAACACACATTACAAAACATAGAATCGCCATTTTTTTCTTTCAAGATATTTTCCATATTTTTACAAACAAATGATACCATGTTTATCTCTTTATGACTATTATTAACGGAATGAGCGTTCGCTTAACATAAATGTCCGTGCGCGCGAGCTCTTGTAATACATAACATACATGGGCAAAAACATGCCTATACACAATTCATTATAGCTCTTTGGGATGCACCTGGACCCCAATTCTGTTTTGATATTTGAAAAGAGTATGAGTCGGAGATATGATTTCATGTCTCATTTGGCCATTAAGTGTATCGTGACATCATCTTAATGGCCTTGGAACTCAAAATACGAATTTGCATATTATGACGTCAGCATATTTATGGAAAATTTATTGTATCTCTGTATATATTGATCGATTTTCTTCCAAATTTTGATACGTTGTAGCTTATACAATTCTCTACAAGCTAATTTACCACCATTTTTAAATTTGATCACGTCATCATAGTAAAAATTTCGATTAAAGAGCACAAGTCATGTCAAAAAAAATTATTGATTTATCAGGTGGGCTGTATCTATACAGACCACCTTATAATTTTGTTAAAATTGCCTTTATTATCAGGTGGGCTGTATCTAATACAGACCACCTTATATTTTTGTTAAAATCGCCTTTATTTATTCTTTATTATTTATTTTTCTTATTCTTTCTTACCACTTTTTTGTTAGCAAAATAACTTGAAAATGGCTTAATCAAATAAATTGAAATTTGGCACACATATGTATAGGCATATGGACAAAGCGCGGTAATGTTTTCAACCTTGACCTTGACTGATGACGTCATCTAGGCGCCATTTTGTGAAATTTTCTGAAAATAAACTCATGATCATATCTTCATAACCAAAAGTTATTTCTCATTCATATTTATCATGATCGAGGTCAATATCCGTCCGGTCAATTTCAGGTCAAATAACGCGCGCGTGCGCGCGCAAAATTTCAAAATGCTCAAAATCGTCTCAAATTTATTTTGCATACGTTTCAAGTCATTTTAAGCATTTTATAAAAAATCGCGCACACGCGCATGCGCGCGCGTTTTTTTCGCGCGTAACACCATTACAAAACATAGAATCGCCATTTTTTTTCTTTCATGATATTTCTCATATTTTTGCGAACAATTTGATACCATGTTTATCTCTTTATGACCATTGAGAAAAAGATGAGCGTCCATTCAAGATAAATGTCTGTGCGCGCGAGCTCTTGTAATACATACCATATATGGGCAAAAACATGCCTATACAAATTCCATTATAGCTCTTTGGGATGGAACTGGACCCCCAATATTTTTTCATATTTTGATAGAGAATGAGTCGGAAATATGATTTGAAGTCTCTTTTGGCTATTAAAATTATTTTGACATCATCATAATGGCCTTCGAACTAAAAATAGGATTTGCATATTATGACGTCAGCATATTTATGGAAAATTAATTGTTTCTCTGTATATATTGATCGATTTTCTTCAAAATTTCGTTTTGTAGCTAAGATAATTCTCTACAAGTTCAATAATGATCATTTTTCATTTTGATGACGTCATCAGAGTGAAAATTTCGATTAAAGGCCTCATGTCAGAAATTTCACAATTTGCGTGTTATGACTATAGAAGGTGATTTTCGTTCACGTAATGAATCTACATGATATTGTTTATTAAGAATTTTTAAGCAATATCTCGCTTAATTTTGCTCTATTTTTTTTCAAATTTTAGTTGACCAGCCCACCTATACTTGTTCCAAACAAGTATTATGTCTAGTTTTAGCTTTTTTTTTTAGCTCATCTGGAAAAATTCCGTTTCATAATGAAAGGTTGAATACATGGCATAGGGGTCTACAGATGTGCATAATGACCTGTTTAATGACTCTTGGACTGTATTCGTCCAAACCTGCAGTTTTATTGTTTCCAAAAGTACTGACAATGTTACAAATTTCGTTTTCCCTAGTAGGATATAAATACAAGGAGTCAACAGGTGGA